TGAGAGCATAATAAATAAATGCCCCTTCTTTACCCCCCCCCCCCTGTCTCCAACCCCCGAAATTTTGTATAGCACTCAGCCCATGGGCTCCTGTTAATAACCATTCTCTGAGATTTCTCTTGGGATGACTGTAATTTTTGGCACAGGTACCCTGAGAGCACTGGTTTCTCTCTCACATGGCTTTTACCATTTATGAAGTCGTTTGCTTTGCTCAGTTTTTAGTCACATTGTTGGTTTACTTTATATGCTCTGGGGCCTATAAAACAACCAACCAACATGACTAACAAGCGATGCAAACAGGGTGATATCAAGGAGAGTTTATTACTGCAAAGGTGATATGCTTTTTGTAAGAAATTATTTGGGTGAATGTGGGGGAGACTAAAGTTTTGATAAAAAAAAATTCACCACACTTTTCTTACCCAGCCCCGCCACCCACTCTCTTGGCAAATAACGGTTTAAGGCCTTAACCCTTCTCTCCATACCTTTTGTTCTTATCTAACTTAACTCTCGCTCTTCTTCACGGACAGCTAGGCCATTACCCACAACCAACGTAATTCATATTGACCTACATGACAGGACACATAACCCGATGAACTACAATGCACGACTCTCTACCCACAATGCACAACCAACCCACCCATGCTAATTAGACAATCTCTACCATTTCACGTTTTTTGTTAAATGTTGTGGTTTATTTTGCAATATATTGTTTTCTAATGGAGATAGACTTTTTGCTTTATTCGTTTTTTTGGTCTGTCCATGCAAACATTCAGTGGGCAACTTCCTTCATTTTCATCTTTTAATGTAATTTACAAATACTTTTTCACACTTTCTTTTCTGTATATTTATCAACATCCTATGTTAATTCTCTTTCCATGTGAAAATGATCATGACAGGAGGTCATTGTCATGCTTTTAACTGTAACAGATAACGTTCTTTTGTAAGTTCTTGCATATTAGTAAAAGTGTCAACAAGCAGGAAAATTAATCTCATTACTAAACATCAGACAGCTGCGCTTCCAGAGCTTTTTAACAAATGAATAATTAATTTCGACTAGTAAAGCAGATAAACCGCCCTTTTGTGTAGCAATGAGCAAGAATCAGTTAGTCTGGTATGCCTGTGGCACCAATATTAAAAACGTGACCATTTTTTAAAATAAATATACTTCTTACATTTCTGTATCAACCATAAAAAATTATACAACTTGTTTTAATTCTTATAGAGATTGTTACATAAAAACTAATAAACATGGAGGGTCACGGAACAACCCAAATGTCTAAAATCTAGGCTCGATCTTATCTGTAGATTTCACCGATCGACGTTCTTAATTCAAAGCACACCACGTTTTCGAACAAAATTATCTGAACTGACGTTGAGTACGTGACTAGAAATATTTAGTGTGTACAGAGCGCTCAATTTTGATGAGAATCGTCTGGATCAATTTTACACGAGTATATTTTGAGTAACAGAGCGCATTAGGTAAAAAGGAAGCTAACGAAGCTTGTTTGACGTGCTTCCCGCGAAAATTCCTCATTTTGCGCCATTGAGACACCACTCGCCAAAATGAAAGATCTTTGCTGTTTTTCAGATTGTCTTGTTTCAATCCACTGTGGAGGATAAATCCAATATTTCCTTTAAATTGCCTATTTTAAATTTGGTTTGGCTGATCCAACAAGTTTAGAAAAGATTGCGCAA